ATCGTACTTCCTCTTAAGCCAATTCAACCTAGCCTCATTGGTGGACATAGTCATGAACATTTCCCTATGCTCTTTCTTGACAAAAAGCTCAGTTCCCACAAAATGGTCATCGCTGCCATACTTAGCCCCACATGCGACAACACGGCCCATTACTTGATCAATAGTAATCCCAGCTTGCTTACTTGCCACAAAAGAGGCAGCATTGTCTGATATCTTGGAGATGTGCTCTTGTATAACTAATGTTGTGCTGGCCTTAGGTTTCTTGTTAGGTTTTTCAAGTATCACATGGGCTTTTTTCTTAGGATTGGCAACGTTAGGAGAAACCTCCTACACCTCATCACCATTGTCTAAGTCATTGTGAGCACCCGTCTCATTCTCATCCTCAGCATCAATGGTAGGATTGGGTGCTTCTTGGCTGGGGGGTATGCTGGGGTTGGAACTCATAGGATTCCAATGATTTTGCTCTTCATTAATGATGTTCCCAAACATCACCTTCAAGTCATCTTCGTTTTGGAGAGGCCCATTCTTAAATTTCCCCACGCCAGGAATTTCCTAATTTTTTTTGACAAAGGTAAGAAATTGAAAGTATACAAGACTAATAAAAACTATAGGTGAACAAAATAACATGTGAGAAGTGCTCACTTGTTTGGTTTTTTTCACCACTCGGCGTCCATGTTGATAGTTCCCTTGTCCCAGTTCTAACCAATACCAGTTTGCTTTCTCATTAATTTTTTCCATGCACTCAAATCAGCCCTCAACTTATCCCACTTGTTCTTAAGTTGAGTTTTTTTCAACATGATACCGGTGCTCTGAAAAAACATTTCATTCACCTCGGCGTAGCCCACATTGTTCAAATGAGTGTTTGGTTGATTTCCTTTTCTAACTTATTCAACAAACAACTTGCAAACAATGTCGGTATAGCCATCATTCCAATCCATTTGATCACCCCAATAGTGATTTCCCCAAAAAATTGTTCAAATTACAAATGAAAGATACCACATCTACCATTAGAATGGAAGAGAAATATATACCTCATCATCCCTTGCCCTTTTGTTGGCTGCTGCAACACGTCGCCTAGCCTGCGCACCCAACGAAGCAGATGCCTACGCCACCATCATAAACTCATCGCCGATCTCCAAAGTGGGTGCTGGGGCCACGCCCAGTCCACCGCCGATAGCGTCGAAGCCAACTGTCGGTGTTTCGAGTAAACACCAACGAGTAAATTTGTATTATTGCGCGTCTGGCCTGGATGGTGTGCTAAGAGGACACAAGGTTTATACTGGTTCGAGCAGAATGTCCCTACGTACAATTCGTTGCTGCTGCTCATGTTACTAACACTGAAAGTTCGTAGTATAGGTTACAAACGGGCGAGAGAGGGACAGGTCCCAAGTCTCTGGTGGAAAAAACGAATGGGTACCGAGAGCTCGGTCGCTGCTCAGCTATGTGTTCAAGGTTTGATGCTAGTCGTTTTGATCTGATGTGGTGCAATGTGTGATGCCCCTGAGTGGAACACCCTGCTTTCCCTTTTATAGGCCAAGGGAAAGCAGGGGTTACAGCAGAGGGGAAGGAGGAGAAAGAGAGAGAGAAAAGGTCCTTTTGGGTCGCCGGGCCTTTCTTTTCCTCCGTGCGGGCCCCGCTGACATGGCAGGTGGTGACAGGGACAGCTCCACGCCGGGCGCCTGTCCGCTGACAATGCCATGCTCTGGCATTGCCAGCGGGTCATCATGTCCCACTTCGCCCCGGCGGGCGGCGCAGCGAACCAGCGTGCTGATCAGCGACCGTATAAGGAGTAGGCAGCATCGTGACCACGCGTCCATCACAGTGGGCGATGTGAGTTCCCTGGAATGACATGCCACAGAGACGGGTCGTGATGAGATGTGACCGCTCCCTACACGATGCCAGAAGTTTGACCTAGGGTTGTACTTTTCTGGCCCATAGTGGTTGGCGGCGACGTGAGCTTCCGTTAGGAACCATGTCCGAGGGATCGGGCGAAGCGGAGCTAGCCCTCAAACGTCGGCCGAGGCAGAGCTAGCCCTCGGATATCGGCCGAGGCAGAGCCAGCCCTCAGACGTTGGGTAAGGCGGAGTCAACCCTTAGACATCGGTCGAGGCGGAGCCAGCCCTCGGGGGTCGGGCGAGGCGGATCCTGCGACCTCAGTGTCCACCGAGATGAAGCCAACCCTCGGGGGTCGGATGAGGCGGAGCCCATGGCCTCGGTGGTCGGACGAGGCAGAGCCCAGCAAGAGGTGTAGTCGCGCTCTTGACCGCTTAGATGAATCAACGTTGATGGTTATTAGCTCCTCCTCTTCGGGTACCCTAGTATTGGTCCCCGACACCAACCCCGGTCGCGCCCAGGCCAGCGCCCAGGATAGCGCCTGACGCGCCTAGGCCGGCAGCACCTAAGCCAGCGCCCGCTGCGCCCAGACTGGTCGCGCCCAGGCCAGAGGGGTCCACGGCCATGCCGTCCAGGGAGGGGAATGGAGGGGCGCTACCCACGATGCCGGGAAAGGCAAGACCAACCCTAGGTGCCTGTTTGGATGCCGGATTGGAAGAAGAAGGAGGTGGAGGAGGCGCAGGAGGAGCGGATCTCCTCATTTCGGAGGCTCGCCGGCCACCATAATGGGGACGGGCGGCATTGCGGTGTGGGCGGCGGCGCACAGTACCGCGGAGGAAGGTTGCGTCTCGCGACTCGCGGAGATGGAAGACCGACGTTTCGCGTGCGTGAAGGGGGAAAGAAAACATATCGAACCGGTACGCAGGGCTGTGTAATCGGTGGCATTGGTGGATAATTTTCACCAACTCGATGAGGATTTTCAAAACCAACATTTTCAGAACACCCCATGAGGTGCTCCGTGGATTTGGTGGATCTGAGAGCTAGATCTATGTTTTTTGCGGATCTAGAGTTCGCAGAGCTAGACTGTTTGGCTGGAAAAACTAGGAGTAGAGCGGTTTTGTTGGATCTGGAGCTACGTGGAGCTCTGCCAAAAAGGCTCTATGTCCTCCCTTTATTTGATGGGTATTGGGTTTCATGATGCCCACTCTACGCTACAACATTGTTTGTAGCTAATAACTGGAAAAAAATTATGGTTAAGAATACCAAGGATTTTCTAAGGTGATGACTGAAAGAGAAGAAACTATGTTTTATGGGACGGTCTATAATTTTAAGTTTTACTTCGTCCGATGGTTCTTTTGAAACTATCGAGCAAGAGAGCTTTACCAACCATATTGGTAAAGAGGAAGGCTTAGACTAGGCAAACAACAGCTTCAGAAGCGGTAACAACGGAAAACACCATATACCACAACTAAAAAAACTCTAGTAATAACTGAAGGACCGCCATGACACCTAAAAGAGTGGGGTAAATTAGACAACTTAAAAACTAATGGACTCTAAAAAACCTACTTATCAAAACACATATAAGATATCTATCTAGATATGCAACTAAGATTTTGCTAAGTGTTTGCTATCTCTATAGTAATTCCGTCACTAAGCCTAGAGCAAAACGCCAATTGAGTGGTCTAACTAGCTTAAGCACTTTGCAAAGCACTACGCTAATCACCTACTTTGCAAAGCGCTACAGTTAGAGGATTATCACTGTCGAATAAATCAACAAACTGGTGGTGACATGACGTCATCGCACAGCCGGATTAAGCGACGATGACAACCCATGACTTCTACCAGTTTTCAAACCATTGGTGATAACCATGGTTATCACAATCGACATTTCACTAAGGGCCAAAACCAATGTTTCTGTAGTAGTCCTTGTGTTCGTCAATAACCAAAACATGAACTTAGAGCCTCGATACGTTCAACTACTAACTCAGAACATTTAGGATATGGTGCTTAATATATGTACTCCTATAATGGAGAGGAGGTGTTCAACGAGAAAATAATTCTTATTGGGTTGATACTAAGTTTGCTCTTGATGGTTGAATCTATTAAAAGGTGATTACAGGAATCCGTTATTAAACTTACGTAAACATCTTAGATGGTTGAATTTTGTACAAGATAGTTAAACTTACTCATAAAACACCTTTCGGGTTTGTTTGGCTACACATGTATTTACCTTGGATTAAGGTGAATACGTATGTAGTCAAACAAAACCTTATATTGCATTAAAGGGATTGACATTAGACATGTTTAACATGGCTCATTGAGTTGCAGTGTGTGGAGAAGGTAGAGGTGGGATGAAAGAAAGAAAATTATGGCTTTACCCATTCCTAGTTATATTAAAAAAAAAAAAACAACTCCTCATCATCGTAGACGCAAAGCCTAAGCTTCACCAGCCTTTTATATTAGAATTTATATTGTTGCAAATTTATCCTTTTAACCACTACTAATAATGTTTAAGAACATTTAAAAAATAGAGTTCTGTATCAATCTTATTTACTTGCTATAATAATTTATTTTAAGGAGATTTTAAAGATGGTCTACACATTGCAAACTCTTCTAAACGCTACGGAGCCGATGTAGCGACACTGTAGCCAGAGCCACGGGAGCTAAAAAAACGAGTTTCTCCGGCTCCGGTGCTGTCAGTGAGAGAGAGGAAAGGAGGAAAAAGAAAAACGACTTCGCTAAATAGTATATCTACAGTGATTCGGCTGCAGGAGCGAGAGCTCCCTAGAGCCCGGCCAAACGGGGCCTGGGCCTTAAATTAAATCGTAAAAAGACATGTCTACAGGCGAAGGGAAGAGAAGAAGAGTCCAGGGGGGAAGAGGAAAAGAAAAGAAAAGAAAAGAAGGAAGATCGAGAAGAAAAAGGCAAGGCGGGCACCGGGCAGGGATGGTGGTGGTGAGAGGCGAGCCGCGAGCGGGTGGGGGGTGGTGGGGTGGGCGTCGTGGGCGGTGGCAGCGCAAACAAGCAAGCCTGCCTTCCAATTAACTCCTTCCCACCTTCCCCTCCTCCCTCCTCCCTCCTCCGATTCCCAAATCCTCGCCTCCAATTCCGATCCTCCGATCCCCGTTCCTGCACCACACACCCTCGCGCTCGGCTAATCCGGCGGCATGCGGCGCGGCGGCGGCGTGGCGGCGGCGGAGGCCGACGGTGATGTGGAGTCGCGGTTCCGCGGGGTGCGGAAGAGGCCGTGGGGCCGGTACGCCGCGGAGATCCGTGACCCGGCGAAGAAGGCGCGCGTCTGGCTCGGCACATTCGACTCCGCCGAGGACGCCGCCCGCGCCTACGACGCCGCAGCGCGGATGCTTCGCGGGCCCAAGGCCAGGACCAACTTCCCGCTCCACGCCGCAGCCGCCGCTGCCCACCATCATCACCTCCACATGCCCACCGCCGCCGCCGCAGCCGCAGCAGCACCGTACACGACATATCCCACCGCCACGGGCGTCTCGACGCCGCCGCCGGTCGCCAGGCCGGCTTGCAGCAGCCTCAGCTCCACCGTGGAGTCCTTCGGCGGCGCGCGGCCGCGGCCCGTGCTCCCGCCGCGGCCCCCGCCGCCGCCGATCCCCGACAGCGACTGCCGCAGCGACTGCGGCTCCTCGGCCTCGGTCGTGGACGACGACTGCACGGACGCGGCCGCCTCTGCCTCTCCGTCGTGCCCGTTCCCGCTCCCGTTCGACCTCAACCTGCCCCCCGGCGGCGGCTGCGGAGCCTGCATCGGGTTTTACGCCGATGAGGAGGATGAGCTCAGGCTGACGGCGCTGCGGCTGTGACGTCCAGCTCAATTGAGCGAGCCGCTGCTTAGAGAAAAAGGAAAAGGAGAAAAATATTTGGTTCTTCCCTTCTCTCGTAGCCGACACGAACTCTCCCTCCGCTACGATGCTGTTGTTGTTTACTTGATCTGTTGATGATTACTATTTGCCTGAATCCTGGTCGACTTATCTGCATGCTTGCCTGCTTGTTTTCGGGCGATTGAGGATATCGCCTAATCTTGCAGCAGCTGTTGTACTGTAATATAGCAACATTTTACTTCCTCTTGTGAGGAAAGAGACAGACAAAGTAACTTATTTCAATCTTTAGCTACATTTTCCCTTCTTGTTTTTACTCTTCATTCAAGTATCACTTGTTTGGGATTGAGGAACTGAAAAAAAAATCATTGAAAAGGAATGGCCAAAATGTGGAGATCAAAGTTGTGTGAACAAATTAAGTTCAACCACATTTCAACCAATATATTTCTTCATTCTCAGATACCATGAACAAATTTACTTTGCTTTTCTTTAGAGACCATAAACCTAACTATCCTAAATTCCTGGTGCTTGTGCTACTAACTTGTCATTACAGTGATCCACAATTTCAGTTTGTATTACTACTTATGCATTGTAGCAGTTTCCCATAATAGAACAAATGATGCTTCTATTTGTGTCATTGAAAGTAAATTTAGTGGCTAACTTTTGATTTCTTAAGCTGTAAACAACATTGGCTATAGATAGTGGGTCTGTTGAAAACTGCATCCAAAGCAGTTTGCATCAATAATTTGGAATATGGTTACAAATTAAGCATTAGCTGAAAACATAAAAAGTCACGCTGAAAGTAGAAGATTCTACTTGGTGCTGTACTGCCTCATGGCACATCTGACACATTCATATAAAGCATCAAGATGCTAAGTTATTTGCAGGATCAACTACTACAACTATCAAAGCATTGCTAATAGCATCAATTGGGGTGGCATCGCATAAAAAGTGGAAGGTATTTGGATATACTTTCCTATTATTGGCAGTTTCTTGTCTGTTATTTATATTTACTAACGAATTGAACAGATGTTTTACATTTCAGGTTAGGTTTGTTCTGTCATTTGTACATCGAAGGATGGTGACGCAATGGTAGTCATATTCTGTCTCTTAGTCTCTTATTGTTTGGAAGCAGGAACAAGTTTGTGACCTTTGTAGATATTGTTTGGTTACCTTGTCATGCAATGGTATATTTTCTTGGAGTGACATTTTAATTGCAAAGACTAAAGCTCTGTTTGGAGGTGATCTTTATGCGCTTGCCTCTTCTAAACAAAAATCTTAGTTTTTAACAAAAATAATATGGCTTAAATCTTGCTTGATACACAAACATTTCTAGTCTTCAGTAGGTAGTAATATTATCTTGATATGATTTTCACTTATACTGGGATAAGACAAAACTGCTCCTTTCTACTCCCACTGTTCCAAAGTTATAAGCACTTTAGCTATGTCCTAAGTCAAACTTCTCTAACTTTGACCACTTTTGTTTTTTAGAAAAATGCACCAACATATACAAAATCAAACTAGTATCGTTAAATTCTCCACGAAATATGTCTTGATAGTGCATTTATTTGAACTTGTAGATGTTATAATATATTTTAAAAAGAACGGTCAAAGTTAGAGAAGTTTAATGATAGACAAAGCGAAAGTGGCCTATAATTTGGATAAGAGGCAGTATTATTAACCTTGTGAGTATCTTCGTTTATGTGAAATTTGGCATTTAGGTGTCTCCTAAAAGGCATGCTCTGGCTAGCACTGTGGCAAGCAAAACTGTCCTATTGCTGACCCAATAATCCTGGTAGTACTCGGCCAGTGGACCTTAGCATGATGAATTCAACCAATGAGGAGTAAGTGTAAACCTAGGATGCATTCAATCAAATCATTTTCCACTTCGAGCAACAGTACCAAGGGTATATATTGTTAGCTGTCAGAACGTGACTATAGCCTCTTGATGACTGACTGACTCGGGGTTGAGTGAAATGTATTGATTAAATATGGAATGTGAGCAAAACATATGATAATATGACAAAGGCTGCCTTGTTGTATTGAAGGCAAGGGAATATGGCATTGTTTTCTTAAATGTTATGCTATTGGATAGTGATAGTTATGGTGGTTATGACTATAGTAATGTACACCCAGGTTCAGGTTTGTTTGGAGAATGGACTTTATTAAGTTTAGCATCTCGTCTTAGAATCACCTTTTTCTTTCTCGATTTGTGTATTTTCATGCCATTTATAAATATTTTACTCATTGAAATAATATACTAAAGATAAACTTTTTTTTTTCTTTTGAGAATCTTAAATAATTATTACTATGACATTTTTCTGGCAGCTTCTGCTTGCATACTGCTTGATAATGACTTTTGGAGCCCCTGCCCTGAACACACCATGACGGAGCACTGATGTGATCAGACTGTAAATTGCAATGCCCTCTGCTAATTTGCTGGGGGTAGAGGGCCAATCTGTGAAAGGAGTCTAGGTGCAAGAATTCCATGGAACTTGTTTGTCAGAGGCACTCGTTTGTCGAGTCTTAAAACAAGGAGCTATGGTGTCAGTGTGTCACTTGAAAGCAGTTTCTTCTTGCTAATATCCAGATCAAAGGTTCAAAGACAATGTAACATTACCTCATTACTGTTGAAGGGCTGAAGAATTTTGTAAGATAAGTTATAATTATTTATTGATTTATTGAAAAGTAGAGCAGGTTATACATCTGGTTTGCTTTTATTTCATTACTTTGATCAGAATTGTACTATGCAGTTTATTTTGTTTTTTCTGAACAATGACTTCCATATTTTAGTGACTAATCACTACTAGTTGATATTATTTCTTTTCTTGTTAATATTATAATTTAATGCTGTTTTTTTATGATGGTGTTGGTGTATTGCTTCTGCGGTTGATCTAGATGGTTATCTTAAACTTGAGTTTCTTTTTTTGAATAATGATGCAATCATATTTTAATGATTTATTTCTTTTCTGGTTAACGTTAAACATGTCTTACAGTAATTTAATGCTGTTGGTGTTTTGCTTCTCCACCGTTGATCTAGATAGTTATCTTGGTGATTTGTGAGTTCAATGTAGATGGTCATGAAATCTATTTTGTCATGTCTGGTCTTAGCTACTTCTGTCCCGAAATAGAAGATGTTCTTGTTTCCCGAGAAATCAATTTTTTAGACTTTGACCAATTATATATAAAAAAATATTAATATTCATAATACATAATTATTATCATTATATAGATTGTTGAATATACTTTCATAATAAACTTATTTGGAAATATAAATATTGTACGCATTTTCTGTTGAGAAAGTTTAACCTGTATGCATCCCATGGCGTCTTTCTTTCTGGGATGGAAGGAGTACGCTTTAATGAACGTACCAGATTTGTCTCGCCTACAAATCATTAATCTTATTGAATTTGTTTATTTCTTTGACCTGTGATTTCATCATAATAAATGTTATTTTTTATTATAACATAGATAGATTTTACCTTTGCAGTTATCACCTCAAGAGCTGATTTTGCTTGTTGCTAAGGATTTTGTCAACGGCAAATATACTTGTGTTTGGTGTTCCACTCTCCGACATGTAGTTTGATTCTTTCCCCATGAAAACCTGTTGGGGTCATTAATTTGATTTGCCACTTGTTCCAGTAGGCCCAACAATTTAGTCGTCCACTTGTGTGGGGTTACGATTCAGCACTGCAAAAATATCTCTTATCCTGATGACCATCTTATGCTGCGTCTTCTATGTTTGTCAGATATAGTGAGCTCTGTTTCTGTTTTCCCTTTCTTTATTATGTGCAGTGCATTTGTAGTATCTGTTTACTTATTAGCTATACTTGGGGAAATAGTAAATAGAAAAAAAAAACTGATGCCATATCGTGGTGGATGAATAATGCCGCATCATCAGAGCACATTAGTATGGCGCTAAAGGCTAGTTGCCAAAGATTCCGGAAATTTTGCCTGCACCACCGCGCCTTTTCCCATGGGTTATGTGGACACTAGGCTGGTAGGAGTAGTAATCAACTAGGCTTGCTTCATTTTATTTGAGCTGATGCTTCCATTAATCATTGATGACCATGACCTGGTGATTAGGTGACTGACTAAATCGCTAAACTATGTTCTCTGCTCCTTTGTTTCAGCTGCGGCAGATCTTGCGGTCTGATGTCTGCCGATCAACGTGCAGGGGGGGCAGGGGCAGGCAACAAGCGCAAGCGAGCGTCTCCCCGCCATGTGCCTTGGTCCGCGGCGGTGGATGCGGACGCACCCAGATCCTGTTCACTCTGCAGCTGATAAGGATGTGGTGGGTGCTGACTGCTGATTGACACTTCCGGGTTAAACGCAACCGGACATTTTCGGCGTAAATGAAGCTTGTGAATGGGGGGACCCGTTGCGGTTCCGTTAACCTGTTCTTGTGTTCAGCCTGCTCCTTGATGGTTTCAGTAAACAGTGTCTCTCATAACAAACCAGTATTAGTTGGACTTATCAACTCATAAATCAACCAACGAACATACTTGTTGTGTCCTTGTCAATAAATCGTGGGGTGGCCGGTCCATTTTGATAGATTGAGAGCCAGCTGGGGCGAACCTGTATGCACACAGCATTTAGGTCGGATTCTTAAAAACTAGTTTGTCTCTAGCTTTTAAAATTTGGATTCTAAATAAAAACCGGTAGTGGGGCATTTGGATTCCCAGTTTTAAAGAATCTGACTTTATTTCTTGCTCTACAAGTCAGAAGAAAACCAAGTATCAACATCTTCTAGTTTTTAAAAATCTGGTAAAAACTAGCAGTAAAAACTAGCCTATTTGGTTCCAAAAGCCAGATTCTTACAAACCGAAAAAAAAAAGTGGAGGGATCCGAGCCTTAGCAATCTGCGGTGACAGAAACCGAAGAAGCGTGCAAGTTGTTGCTTGCTATACATGGACGCCAGTCAGTAATCCATGTACCGGTAGTCGTCGCTGTTCTTGATCCGATGGTTTTGCTGTGTGCTGCGTACGTGCTGTGCTATCCAACCCATCACGCCCTGATACTCGGGAGCCTCAAGAAATCGAGATTGCCGCCAACTTGTTTCCAGGAAGATGCGATATAAGTTGGGCTGAAAGTTACCAGATTTGATGAGTTGGGATGTACGGAATCCCATTTTGAAGCGAAAGATCGCACAGCACAGGCTTGCTTATTGGAACAGCAATCAGGAAGCCCGTATGTATGTTTTTCAATGTTCACACCGCATGTACGAACCCCCCGAGTATATTTGTGATGGGCGTAGGTTAATTTAGGCATTGTTTAGCTGGCCAAATTTTGAAAATTGGATTACTATAGCACTTTTGTTTTTATTTAGTAATTAATGTTCAATCATAGATTAATTAGGCTCAAAACTTTCGTCTCGCGATTTCCAACAAAACTGTTCAATTAGTTTTTCTTCGTCTATATTTAATGCTTCATGCACGTATCGCAAGATTCGATGTGATGGCTACTGTAGCACTTTTTTGCCACGTTTAGTTTCAAAACCAAATTCTCAAAAAATGCTACAGTAGTCATCACATCGAATCTTGCGATACGTGCATGGAGCATTAAATGTAGACAAAAAAACTAATTGCACAGTTTGGTTGGAAATTGCGAGACGAACGTTTTGAGTCTAATTAGTCCATGATTAAACACTAATTACCAAATAAAAACGAAACCAAATTCCCAAATTTTATCCGATTTAACACAGCTTTACAGAGATCCCAGGTGGAGAAGGGAGCAGGAGGAGGTCACGTCAAGGGCGGAGGGGCAAGGCCAGGGCCAGCTGCCACGACCACGAGAGAGCAGATGAAAGCAAGGATACGACGGGGCAGCGGCCAACCACTGTGCATCCTCGGTCCTCGCTTCCTGTCCTCGCTCCTCGGTAGGTAGGCAGGGCAGGGCAGGGCAGGCGAGGAGGTGTTAAGGCCCTGAGCTGTCTCCTCTCCTCCCTCCGCGTCGTCTCTCCGATCCGCGCATACAGACAGATACACCGACGCGCTGCCACGCTGTTCCGCAACACCGCGGACCCGCAGTTGCGAAGGTTGCTGCTAGCTGGGGCCCGTGCGTGGCTGGCTGCTCCGGCGGCCGGTTGGCCGGTTGGCCGGTTGGGGCGCCTCTAATCAGGGAGCTGCTCAGTTGTCGATAGCTCGCACCTCCCAGCTGCGCAACCAAACCCAAGCATACAGGCGTCTCCTCGGCAGACTCCGACCGCTGCCCTGCCTTGGAAATCCATCGTCGTCCCACCTCGCCTTCTCCTTCCGTCCCCCGGCCGCCCGCCGCGCGCGTTCTCCTCTCTTTCCTCGTGACAGAGAGGAAAGGGGGAGCGGCGCACGGAGAGGAGGTCAGGAGGAGGAGGACCGGAGGTGGTGCAGCAACAACCAGTAGGGCCCGGCCGGCCTCGTCCGTCCGTCGTCGTCGCCCTCCTCTCCAGCCAATCCTTCTCCAGGCGCGCACACAGTCACAAACCGACGACAACATGGCTGCTGTAAGTAACACAACATGGCTGCTGTAGGTAACATTTCCCATAGGCCATAGATTAGGCACCTCAATTGGGTGGCATAGTTTGCTTGTCCCTGCATCCAGAATGATGGCATTGGCATAGCACTGGGACGGACGGTTGCTCCGGCTGGCATTGGCATGGGCGCATGGCAGCATGGGCACGCGTGTTAATGCCGTTTATTTCATTACTACGACTCCATGCATGCCTGCTGCTGCATGATGTCGTAAGTGTTTTCTCTCTCTCCAGTTTTTACTACTACGACGAAGCTAGTAGGATACAGGAGTACTGTGCTACGCTGCATGATGACCACAATTCACATTGGGATCATCTTTGGCTCCTTCCAGCCCGGAACCCTGCCCATGTGCCCCCATGTTGTTGATGATGATTTCCACCTTATGCATCCATCATCCATGCGAGGTTAGTTCGGTTTGGTGATGGTCATTGCTTCTTCTTTTTTCTTGAATACACAAGAAAATTACGTAAGAAGATAGAAGTTTTAAAATACACGAGAGAGACTGTCTCTGGCCGACAGTTACCTTAAAGGGGCTATATTTTGAATTATGAAAACCTTGAGATCTATTGGGATAAACCCTAAACAATGCGTGGGCCTATGGTGCCATGGGCGAAGGGCGGCGAGCTGCTCCACCAGTCATTGCCCTGATGCTAGGAACAACTCATCAAGAGGCTCGACATTTGCTGCCGATAGGGTACTACTGAGGAAATCGGTCCTGGTGGTGCCAGGAACCCTATCTTCTTCCTGAGCAATGCTTCGTCGCGTTTGGACGCCGAGATGTGGTCCATATGCTCCTAAGACTATCTCCAACAACATCACCCAAAATACAAGACCCATTTTATGTTTGGGTAGCGCTACAGGCAAAGAGTTCAATACCCATTTTTGGTCTTCTTCAGTAACAGGACCCAAAAGAGAACCCTTTCTATAAATGAGTTTTAAGGGGAGATGATACTCATATTTGGGTTGTGCCTCTGCTGTAACCCAAAATGGGTCTCGCATATAGGTATTTTGTTGGAGGCTGATACAGTACCATCCACGACCCATTTTAGATTTGGGTCTCCAAGTAGATTATCCATCGGAGACGGTCTTATAGATATATTGGTCTGTTTTGGTACCGATTTCTGCTTGGGCGGGGAGTTGATGAGTGCTCAGTCACCATGATTATTCAGCCAGGCGTAAGAGCATGGGTAACAGCCAATATCTGACTACCACCGTGTCACCTGTACCTACTGTTAGGGCGTGTTTAGATGAATTTTTTTGGGTTTTAGCTATTGTAGCATTTTCGTTTGTATTTGACAATTAGTGTCTAATTATGGACTAATTAGGTTCTAAAGTTTTGTCTCGCGATTTCTCATCCAACTGTGCAATTAAAATTTTTTTTGTCTATATTTAATACTCCATATATATGCCGTAAGATTCAATGTGATGAATACTACGCAAAAATTTTTAAGAACTAAACAGGCCCTTAGTCTAAAACAGCCACCCATACTTCGCTTGGACGTATCTGAACATGGGGACGCCGCGCCTGACTTTCCCAGGCGGCGCCGCCGGCACATGGCGTGTGATCCCGTGCTTGCATTGGACGGCTCGCCGCTCGCGTAGTCCTCACGAGGCCACCCACCCATGTGCCGCGCCGCGCGCCCTTGGCCCTTGCTCCGGACTCCAAGCCCGCTGCCGTTGGTGGATGGCGGTCGAGCTCGAGGCTCGAGCACACGGGAAACGGAAACCAGCGAGCAGCGACGAGGAGTACGTGCCAGACGTTGCGGCGGCGGGCCGGCGGCTCCTCAGTCCTCGATCACAATTCACACGGGAGGGCGACTTGGCACGATGCACCCGTCGTCTGCCGTCGTTACGGACGATGGTTGCATTGGCACGAGTGGATTGCGTGCATCCGGTCGGGATGGATGAGTTCAGTTTAGCCTACGTACCCCTGGCCCCGGAGGCTTTGAGTTTCAGCTAAGCGAGTACTCCTAGATTATATTATTTGCGATGCACGATTCAGAGTGCGCGGGGCAGAGGTACCTGATTTGTACTAGCTGTAGCTGTTTCGTCTGTGACGTGCCACTGCTCGCACGCATGTATTATTTTGTCGTCGGTGTTAAGCAGCAGGGAGCTGTCCATGCACTGTCCTGTCATGTGCTGTTCTCTTGGTGTTTAAGGCAAATTAAATGCTGCTAGTACCAGTAGTTGGTTAACACGTAGTACAACTTTCATTTTTCACGTAGCCATACTTCTTTGTGTTTTTCTTTTCTTAAAATAAAAAATGCAAATTCGTAGATAAGAAAATTGTGATGGCATCGAAGATTGTGTTTTTACTTAACCGTAGTGTCCAATCTTCGAATTTGCAGCAACTGTTCAATTGAGACTCGTGCGTGATTGAATGCAGGCCGGGCACGCCGTGGTGCCCAAGTTCGGCTCCTGGGACGCCGAGAACATCGGCTACACCGTCTTCTTCGAGAAGGTGCGAGACAACAAGGCCCCACCGGCGCCCGCTCCCAAGCCTTCTGGCGGCGGCAACGGAGGCTACGACTTCGATCCGTACGAGCACTACGAGAGCCTCAGCAGGAAGGTGCCGTCACGCCCGCCGAGCTCGCACGGCCACGGCCAGCCCGCCGCCGCAGACAGGGCGCCGGCGCCGGTAGTGGCCGGTGCCTGCTACGACTTGGACCCGTACGAGCACTACGACAGCCTCAGCAGCAGGAACGTGCCCTCCCGCCCGCCAGGCTCGCACGGCCACGCGCCTGCTGCCGGTTACGACTACGACTTCGACCCCTACGAGCACTACGAGAATCTCAGCGCCAGGAACGTTCCTTCCCGGCCGCCGATCTCGCACGGCCACGCGCCGCAGCCGCACCACCGGCCGCACCCGCACCCCGGGCACGGGTACCACCGCCGGACCGGGAGCAACGGCAGCAATGCCGCGTCCGAGGCCAGCAGCCGCGGCAGCAAGTTCTCGCCGCCAAGGCCGTACCAGCCCAGGTACATCAGCAACGATAACAACAACGTCAGCTTCCCGCCGCAGCCGCAAGGCGGCGGCCATGGCGCCCAATACCACCACAATCACCACCACCACCGCGGTGCGCCGAGGGCAGCTTCCGCCTCGCCGTCGCCGCCGCGCCACCACCACCCGGCCCCGCCGCTGCTGCCGCGGCGCCCTAAGCCGTCGGCCGTGCCGAGGTTCGGCGTCTGGGACGAGCAGAACGCGGCGATGGCGGCGCAGGGCTTCACGGTGCAGTTCGAGAAGGTGAAGCGCCACCGGGAGGAGGCCAGCAGGACCGCACCCGCGCCGCCGTCCGTGCAGCCGCCAACGAAGCTGCTGACGCCTGACCACGCGGCGGCGGCACCACGCGCGCGGCGACAGGGGAAGAGGAAGGCCGAGAGGTCCTTCATGTCCAGGATGTACAGGTGCCTGTTCCCAAGGGTCAGAGAGTGAGTGATCCGACGACCGACGGTAGTTACCACCACTCAGCCGTATACGTGTTCTTCGACAGAGATTGTATTGTACTACTTCAGGATTTGTTCGTTCTTTGTTCATTACTATGTTGGCGCTGCCTCCTCCTCCGGCATTCAAATTTGTCTCCAGCTGCAACCTTTGGCGCGTTGGTGACGAGCCAGCTAGCGCCTGGCACCATGGCCAGTGCAGGCCCAGCTTTGCGACCGGCGGGCCAGCTTCTGTTGGAAAACACTAGGTAGGGGATAGGATCGTATGTTCATGCTTCCGGTGGAACACACTACGCATATAGGATCGTATGTTCACTCGATCGTCCACCAACCTGCTTACTCATTTTTTTTCAACGTACAAAAACTTCTATACAAAGAAAAACAACCAATGGTGCATTTAGGAAAGAATCTCTCTATAACCGTGCTCCTAATTGTCATCGTGGTCGTCGGTATGTACTTGCACATGTATGAACTGTTGGAAATATAAGTCTCTCTCCTAACAGCTTAAGTTTTAGCGTTGAATTGACCCGTGTATGCAACTTCGTTGTTTTGATTAATCTTTCGGCTAACCACGGTTAAAGATGGCAATGGGGACCCGTGACCCGATACCCGACGGGTATTTCCTCCATTAGGGTCTAAATATGGACTAAACACACTACCCACGGTTACGTAAATGGACCAAACCCTTCACCCATCGGGTACGCGGGTATGGGTATGTTCCAGCAATCCCCGTACCCGTTTACCCATGGGTGAAAAATACCCGGCCCAAAACTAAATAAGTCCACCAGCCCATGTAAAACCCTAGGTTCACCCGCCGGTCCCGCCTGGCGACTTGGCCGCTGGAGCCCTCGACCGCTCGAGGGAGGCTCGACGCCTGGCCTCCCACCGCCGAAAAAATAGGCGCGTGAGTAAAGCGCGTCGTTACCTCTTCTCGGCGCTGGCAGCTTGGCACCGCAATCACCACTCGCCAAAAAAACCACCGCCGCCGCCGAAAAAAAAACTACGCCGCCCGCTCGCCCCTCGTGACCTCGTCTCGGCGTCTCGCGTATTCGCATCGCATCGAAGCGCCAGGAACTCGCCACGCCATGCCGGCGACGGAGCAACTCGAGCAAAAAATGGTGATTGCCCTATTCCCCTTCCCCTAATCCCCTTCATATCATATTCTTTGCACTTGCAAGCGTAGCACTGCAGAGGCGCTCGGCCCTCCGCGCTCCGCACCGCGCTCCTTTGCCTCTTTCCCCTCGCACTAACCAACTCCTTCACTCCGACGTCAAGGGATTTCGTGGAGGTCCGGAGGATGGTGACCACACAAGCCGTCGGATCCCGAGCTCGCCGACGCCGCGAACACTCTGCCGCAAGATCCGAAGGTCCAAGTTGAAGTCGCCGCCGCGCTCTCTGCAGCGGATCCGAAGAACGGTGCCGCGCCGCCAAGATTCTCTGCATCCAAGCCCAAGAACGGAACGGCACCGCTCATACATCAAGTCCAAGAACACCACCACCAAGGAGAAGAAAAGGACCGGAGTTACTGCGGCCGTGGAGAAGACGAAGCAAAAGGACGGCCGACCCCCTCTTTCTCTGGCTTCATCTCGAGAAGGTGCTGCTGCTGCTCTTTCCGGCCGCCGCTCCTCTTTTGCAGCCACATCTTCGGGTGGAGGTGGTGCAGTAACTAATACTCGGCCTCCTGGTACTAGCCGCAAGTTGCTGCAGCCACTGATGTAAGTAAACCCAAGAACAATAGTGCTAGTGCCAGATTATATTTATTCTGACTATATGCTTCTTCTAGTTTAAATGAACCAAAGCATATCCTTCCATGTCTGTCAAACCCATCATATCACCATGTCTTTACTTTCAGGTTTTGTTTATTGGCATGCCTAAATTTTTTATTTCATCTTGACATACAGAAACATTTTACTATGGACATCATGACGATGCATGCATATAGGCAATATAGCATTGCATTCAGTTAGTATACCTCTAAAATAACTTTATTTTTTCCTATTTTTAGTGACATAGCTATCCTAGCTCCTCGGTTGTACTGTCGTGTTGTGCAATTACCAATTCCCCTATTGCCATAGGTAAGCGGTTCAAATAGAACAAATTGACAGATTTTGCTTGTTTCCCATGTCCTGCCATATCTGTTATGTTTGATATTTTTTTATAGCATATCTTTTTTTATTAACATTCATTCTTATTATGTCATACAGATTGAAAAAAATGAGTACTAGCCGTGATAGCTAGGGTGGACCAGGCGGCTGTTGAATTGTTGATTTTCATGCGTGTGAATAAATTATTGGTGGGTACGGGTGACCCGCCGGGTATGATTTACCCGGCCGGGTATGGGTCTGGGGAAAATTACCCACCCATGGCGGGTATGGGTATTCTGACGGTACCAAATTTTTATGGCGGGGATGGGTCTGGGGTGGCCATACCCGATGGGGATTTACCCATTGCCATCCTTAACCACGGTCTTATTCGCTTGAACTTATCAGCCGGCTTATCAGCTAGAATCTACAGTATTTTTCTCTTATAACAAAACAGCTTCAGCCAGCTTTAATACCAGCCGAACACATTGTTGCATGTGCTAGTATGTTCAATACCTGCGCAGAGTGTATGGTGCCAGCTGAGCAAGCACCTGAGGTGCAGTTATCATGGAGCGTGCTGAACCGTTGACAACAATGCCGATTGCGATAATCTATGCGTAGAAGAAAGCTCCGAGAATATCCATTCTTTTAAGGGAATCATGTGTGATATACTAAGGGTATCAGAAATATTTCTCTTCTTCACTAATCTGTCTGAAAAATCTCAGAGCATCACTTTTTTTTTGGACGGAGGGAGTACAAATTATCCCTTCCTGTCTTTTATCTAATAATACATATATATTTTTTTTCAAAAAAAGATGGGTGACCTCTGCTAGTTAAACATAGAGTAAAGTACACTACCGGTCCCTAAACTTATATCGCTATGTCATTATGGTCTCCAAACTTGCAAAACTTTCGTCCAGATACATAAACAATGTATGTTCGGGTCTCACTATAGTTTTATTGGGTCTCGTCCTCGGATCTATTTTCCTATGTCATCTAGGTCCCAGACTATCAAAATGCTCACTCCTAGACACACCCAGGTCAATTCAAGTGATCCTCTATCTGTTTGTCTCTCCGCCTTCCCTTGTTGCATGTTGTCGAGGCTAGGCTACAGGCGACCTTGCTAGCCTCCTCCTCATCTACGTCCGTTGTCTGCTACAACACCGAATGATGAGCCGCCACAACCCGTCTGTGCTAGCTCCTCGTCCTCATTATTCGTAAGGCCTCAAGAAAGCAGGCTAAAAGAAGCCCAATAGAAAATTTTCAGCCAAAACCCAAAGCATGAATATATATATATATTATATATATATATATATATATATATATATATATATATATATATATATATATATATATATATATATATATATAGTGCGTCACGATGTCACCCTAGCTCCAATGCTCCTCTCCTGTTCCTATCTAGCCACCGGTTCCCCTCCCCCCGACGCTTCATCCCCTCCCTCAATTCCTCTCTCCCCTACCACTGCTGCTTCCCCTCGCCCTTCTCCATCCCCATATGGTGATCTTGGCTTGCTCCCGCTGTTGCTGCACCTCCTCCTTGTAACACCCCCACTTTTTCCCTAATCTTAATGAACAATGATAATTCTAATAATCATTAATTAACAACTAGCTAAGAACAACCAGACTAATTTTCCCTATCTCATATGGCACACACCAACAACTCGACCCTGTATCCGCCTTGTCTCGATTAAGGACTGAGTTGATGATTCATCTTGCCTAACTCATTTTATCGTACAACCACTCGACCCTGTATGTGGCAGGGCTTAGTCTAAATCCCTCTAGCTGGTATGGCAATCACCTGGAGGCAGGTGTGCAACGGGACACTAAGAGATGTATGTGGAAATTGATGAATTATATGAAATGTAAAGAGCTCTGTAAATTATTATGAGATGTGGCCTTAGTGTTCCCGTGGTGAGTGCAAATACTGAGCTATGGAGGGTAATGACTTTGATGGATCTGTGCTTGCACTACGGTGTTTAAGTTACGATACCCTACTTGTGGTGAAAATGTACAACCTCTGCAGAGTGTAAAATGTATTCGGATAGCCGTGTCAACGGTCTCGGATGGGTTATGGTTTGGTTTCAACAACTAGATGGGTTGGGATGAGTGAAAATAGGAGAGTGAATGTGTTTGGAAATGAATGGTTGTCTGCCATGTGTTGTGGGAACAAGGGTTCAGACACACTTAAAATTGTGACCAACCCCCTTTTCAGAAATACTATCATATATGGAAAATATGTCTTTTACAAAGGTATTTGTAAAATGAAACCCTGCATGTGTAAAAAGATAGCTTTATGTAAATAAACCAAGCCTTATCCTTGATATATCCATAAGCATATACTGTTATCCCCTTCCGTAGGGTAAGGTTGGATTTGTTGAGTACTTTGTACTCACCCTTGCTTTGTTGAATAGAGGAAGATCCGGACTTCAACCCTGAAGTGACGTACGGATAAGGTTGTGTCTACACCCAACCAAGCCTGTGGCATTGGGATTCACCAGATGTTTAGCGATTCCTTTTGTTTTTGGGTCTGCTAGACCTATATAATTATGTTGTGGTTACTTTGTGGCATGTCTTCATTGCCCACGCTTGTTCACTACTGCACTGAGACTTATCTGATGTAACAAATGTGTTAAAGCCTCTAAAAACGGCCAAGAGAGTGAGCTAGAGCTGGCCAAGGGGCTTAAATAGGAAGCCCCTTCGAAAGAGTCGTTGGCCCCCTTTACCTCATTGGTTTCAGGGCGACCGGACGCACCGGTTGGTATGACCGGACGCACGCCCCCAGCGTCGGATCATGGATCGACATCCACATGTCCCCACGTTTGATCTCCGCCATGCGATTTCAACGGTTGAGTGACTCGGCACAACAGCTAAGTCACGACCGGACGTGCGG